CGTGCAGGTGCTTGCTGAGCACCACGGCAGCCGTGCCCCCATCATGGGTTGGCGTTGTCATGCGCCTTGGCGTGCTAGCTCTGGTGGTGGTTCATGGCAGTGGACGTCTTCCAAGCAGAAAAAGAGTCGAGATACTTCCTACCGTGTGTGCAGTTCATGCGGTCACCGGGAGTACACGCGACATGGGGGCCAGCATATGCAGCAGTGCAGCACGTGTTCGTGCCCATACTACGACAAAGTGGCTCGTTGGCCAGGTGGTGACAAAGGAGGAGGTGCTGCTGCGGCACCCCCGGTGGCACAGGGCGGTGCAGCGGCGCCCATGCCGCCCGTTCGAGTGCTGCAAGCCTGGACGCAGCACTGCATTCACCTGGCAGGACTGGTGGAGCAGGCTTCAGCACCAGCACATGATGCAGTGGTTGACTACACGGATCAGGAGTTGAACAGGCTCGTGTCGATGCGTCGATGGAGCAGACCAACCTGGCCAAGAAGGTGGAGCATGCGAACAAGAGTGAACGCCTCGCTGCGCAGGAGGTGCAGTGGAGGATTGAACAGTACAATAAAGCGAAGCTCGTGCTGGAGGACATGGAGTGCAACCGTGTGCAGTCTGTCCCGGCCTTGGAGAAGGCCAGGGCGCTCACCCGCCAAGCCGAGCAGGAGAAAAACACGATCGACCCAGTCGCTTTCAAGCAGCAGAAGGTGGTGCAGGTCGAGGCAAAGCGTGCAGATCAAGAGCGTCGCGCGCGTGAGGGAGCTGCTGTGCATTTTGCTGCTGGAGGCCCTGTTTCTCCTCCAGATGCTGCTGCTGCTGCTGCTGCTCCCCCTCCTCGGCTGCAGCATATCAGCCCGCGCCGACTGGGCCCATTCGTCTTCCCAGCCTCGTGCAGATGTCGACTGATGAGCTCCGTGCTTGGTTTGCTGGTAGTGGAGAGCGGTTCGAGTATTGGGAGACGACCAAGCAGATACAGAAGACTATCGAGGCGCCCGTGGATGATGCCATGGCGGACGTTGCTGATAGTGAGTTTGGTGATGCACATCGTGAGGAGTTGGGCCAGGTGCGCAAGCGCTCCATCGAGCAAGCCTTCACTGAGCCAGAGCGCAACCGCATGGAGGCCATGCTCGTCAAGCAAATATCTCAGAAGGCCACCGAGCGCCTCGAGACCATGCGCGAAGAAGGTGCCGCCAGTTTCTCTCGCGTGCTCGACCATATGGCCGAACGAGGAGCGAGCGCGGCAACTGCTGCTGGACCCGTGCTACCCGTCCGTCGGCGCTGGAGCAGGAGGGCAGCGGCGACTTTAGCAGGCACGTGAGTGCGCCTTCGCCCACAGCAGTCCAGTTGTTCTTTTTCGTAACGTGACGCGCTGGAGTGAGGCTTCGGTTTCTTCGCGCAGAGCGCGAAACCGACGCGTGATGGTTTTTTTTCTTCGGGGAGCACCACCGTGCAGGAGACAAGCTCAAGCTTGCGAAGCGTACATGTCATCGGGCGAAGTGGCGGCCACGCTTTCAGGCTGCTATCCCCGCCCCTGGAGGGCGTGTTCATGGAGGGGTCGGGGCGGTCGCGTCTCGGGGGCTGTCTTTTCGCAGGTGCTTGTCCAGTGTGGGGTCTGAGCAGGACCTCAGCCAAGGGACTTGTTTTTTTGTTCTCCCCTGGAGCGTCGGGCCGAGCAGGCCGCCCCGGCCGTTGGAGTGGCGCCCGGCGTTTCGGAGTTGGGCGTCTGTGGTGAGAATGCCTCTCTAGTCTCCAGGAGGTCTCAGGGTTCGTGGGCGCGCTCTCTATCCCTTTGGCCATTCCGGGCGGCTGGAATGCTTCTGTTGCGTACTTGGAATAGCCGGGCTTCACGCGTCTGGCGCGGGCTCGTGCGATTGCCCCCAGAGGTGTTGCGTTCACTTGCTCTCAGGGAGGTGTTGCCCTTATTGACTATGTTGTCGCCTCTGATGCGAATGCTTGCCTCCTGAAGTCGGGCAAGCGCACTCCGCCCCCGGTCAAGACGCGCGCGTACCTGAGCATTGATATCGAGCATGAGGTTGTCGAGCAGGCGCTTTGGCGACGAGCTAACCAGCGGCGTTTCCCGATTGCGCTGGCCCCGGCTTACCTCGGGAGGTGATCCTGGAGCAGTGTCGGGATGAGGGCCTTGACGAGCCCCTGGTTTCCTGGTGGGTATGTTTTTTAGCGGGCGTCGTTGATGCTCAGTCGCCAGCTGCGTCTGAGTACTGTGCCTTGCGGAGCAGGGCGACGGAGCGCGCGTTTTCGCCCCGTGCGCGCGCTGTTGACCCAGCTCATCGCGGCGCTGGGGGGCGCGCTGGATTCCAAAGTTCCGTCTCCAAGGTCGACGGGCGTGGTTTCTGCGGACAGAGTTTCAAGCAACCAGCCCGCTGCCTCTTGGGCGCGCTTGTCGCGGGCGCTTCGGGGGTGCCGCCTATCTAGTGCGAGGAAGTCGCGCGCGGGGGCTGGTCAGGCCCAGGCTGCTCTTGGGCATCTTGCCCAGGTAAGTGATAAACATTGAATTCCCTGAGATGTTCGAGGTCCAAAATGGTGGCGGACTCAGCTGTCTAGCCTTCCTCAGGGCGCCCCCCCCAAAAAAAAAACCATCTTGACCCGGTCTCCGACGCTGGTGGCAGCGTCGCGTCTATGGCGCGGGCGTCGGTACGATCGGAGCCTAAGGTCGGCGCGAAGTGGCGGTTGCTGCGCGCGCTGTCCAAAGGGGCCAAGCGGGCGCACGCCGGGCTTCGATGTGACCAAGGTGTCGGCCTCAAGCACTTGGTCACCCTACCGATGTCAAGCGGTCGCCTGAAGACTCGATGGAGTGCCACCAGCGGCGTTGGAGGGGGAGTTGGGGAGTCCCTGGAGCGCCGTGTGGCCCTCTCTTGAGTTTTGGATGAGTTGATGTTGGCCGCTCTCAAGTCCGCGGGGGATTTGGAGCAGTTCGGCCATCTCGATGTCCAGAGCGTCGCGGGCGTGCAAAGTTGATGTCGCTGCGGGGGTCAATCGCTGGGCTACGCGTTCCCTTCTTGCCCTGCCCCTGACTTTTGCTGGGATCTACGCGGGCCCCCTCAATCAGTGCGAGCCTAACTTGACGTGGCCTACCCAAACCGTGTTAGGCATAATAGATTTACTCCCCAAGGCTGCTGATGCCGAGAGGCCTGTTTGCACGCGCGCCGCGCTTTTCCGCGTGCACTGCAGGCTCGAGGGCGCGACATCATCGCGTGGGCTGCCGAGCGAGAGAATTTGTGGGACGCGGCGATCCGAGGGCCCTTTGTTCTGGTCGCTGCTCTCTGGCGCGAGGTAGTCCACGATATTGCGTGCTATCGCGGTCTGAAGTCCATTGGGTTGTACTTGGACTATGTTGTTAGACGCCGTCGGATCTTCTTCGCTTCGCTGGTTTCGCATTGAAGCTGCTGTGCCCCGCGTGCCTCCTCTACCATGGGATTTGGATGCACGAGGCGCCTCGGACTTTGGAGGTCGGAGGCTTTGTCTCGGAATTGATCCCCGCAGGTGTGGGGGCGTTGCCAGGGCCTGCGGAATCCATGCCATGGGTAAATATATACTTATATGGCTGGCTCGATTTTTTCGGCGCTCAGTGTGCCCCCGTTCAGGTGCATGCGCACGTGGATGATATCACTCAGACGATGCAAGGTATTGAGGAAGAGGTCGTTGCTCGGATTGTTCCAGCGGCCGTTCGGCTGCGCCACTAGCTCGAGCCGGCCGGCTGACAGATTTTTTGGAGTAAGGGTGCCATGGTCTGCTACCGCCGTTCTTTGGAGCGCGAGGTCTCTGTTCGGCTGACTAGCGCTGGCATTCGGATTCGCAGTGAGAAGGCCGCGCGAGATCTGGGGGCCACGACCGCGGCAGGTACGAGGCGCTGCGCCAAGACGGCTAGGCAGCGCCAACTGGCGTCCCGCAAGAAGGCCAGGCAAGTGTCACATTTGTTCAAAATCGTGGGGCGGGCTGGTAGCTTTATAAGCCCGCTGCGCTGTCGGCGGGGCCCCGGGGCCACGGGGCCCCCGGGCCCGCGCCGAGCCAGACCCCGGCCATGCGGGCTCAGACAGCCACGTGCACTGGATGGTGGAGCCCTGGGGCTCGCCTGTCTTACGTCTGCTCAGCGCTGCCGAGGGCAACCCCCGGTTTAGGTGGAGGTGCGAGCAGTTGTCTAGCTTCGCCACCGCCAGGGGGACCTTCGACCACAAGCAGAGACTGATGGCTTTGCAGACTTGGAATCGTAGCTGAACTAAGCGCACTACTATTTCAGCATCGTTGGCAGGCCGCGCGGAGCCCCATCGCTGATACCATCTCTATCCTCATGGACCTCCAGCGGGACCCCTGTGCCGCATGTC